TCACCATGAGTCAAAGCAGGCTTGATGGTAACTAATAGCAGCAGCAGCAGCAGCAGCAACAACAACAACATATGGGAGACCTGGATTAAATTCCTGACCAATGCATCTCATGCACAGCCACCACTTGTCAGTGGAGGATTGAATGTCACTACGATGATGAACAGGTTTCGGTGGAGCTTCCAGACTAAGACAGACTAGGAAGAAAGGCTTGGCAATCTACTTCCAAAACTCAGCTAATGAAAACCCTATGGATCATAACAGTCCAAATCACAACCTCTCACGGAGATCACGGAGGACCAGGCAGTGTTTCCTTCAGTTGTACGTGGGGTTATCAAGAGTCAGGGCCTTATGGCAGGTAACAACAACAACAACATAGCCACAGAAATTTACCTACTGCCTCTTTTTCTTCCACATTAGGATTTTTTTACCATTATGCCACCAATTTCTCTCTTGAGATTCCTCTCAAAACTGACAAGAAAGCTTCCCTTTCAAATTCTTACATTATAAGAGCATAATTACTTTTACTCTAAGCCCTGACTAAAGTTACTTCAAATCACTATCTTATTTCATTCATTATTTCAGTAACAAGAACCACTATCACCAATAGAACCTGATTTTTTCACAGCATGTTTCATGTTTCACGTTGGCAAATCCTTCACAGAGCCACTCATCAGCTCAAAATCAAGGCCTTTCACACCTTGCTCTCATTTCCTAACAAATACTCTAAGTATCAGCTACAATATCATGAACTGTCCTGCATTTTTGGAGTTTCCTCTGATTATTATCCTCTTACTGTACTTATTTACCCCCATAACTGTCTTCTTCAAAACTCTGCTCAAATGTCAATTCTTTTTTTCAAAAACTTCAGAGCTTCTTCCTCTATTTTTTCATGTTACATCATACTGTATTGTAACTCTCTCTCCATAAATAATACCAACCACTGAAGTCCAACAAAGTTACTAGCACAGAATAGAATACATGTTTAATAAATGTTTGTTAAATGTATGTATTGTCTGGTAAGCAAACTAATATTCTAGCAGTTGAATTAAAAGCAAGCATCTAATAAGTCAATCTTATTTTTTCCCGTTACCTTCTACTAGAATTGGGAAAAAGAAGTAGTATTTAATTTACGCTCAGCAAACCATTACTATTCAAAGATAATTCTTTAAATTACAAAAATAATTCATATATTGAGTTCTATGTATACACATAATAGTTATATGCTTTGCTTCATTCTAAACCATAACACTATAAAAGTGAAAAAGCTCCCTATATTTTACCTTTTTTAAAAAAGAATGCTAATCTAATAACTAATAATATATTTTAAATAAAATACACTTAATTATTGATCTTCTTACATTTCTTGTGGTTTAAAAAACATTAAAACTCATCTTCAGTTAAAACAAGGTGTTTTTTTTAAACTTTAGTTTTCTAACAGAAAGTTACAGGAACACTAACCATTTTACTATTAAGTCTATGAACCCCCACCCCAATCCATCCCAAACTCAAAATCAAACCCATTGTCATCGACTCACAGCGACCCTTTAGGAAAGAGAAGAACTGCCCCAGAGGGTTTCCAAGGCTGTAATCTTTACGGAAGTAGACTGCCACATCTTTATCCCGTGGAGCGGCTGGTGGGTTCGAACAGCCTACGTTTTGGATGGCAACCAAGCAGTTTAACCACTGTGCCATCAGGGCTAACACTGTGAAGAATGGGAATTCCAGAATACTTACTCGAGCTCATGAGGAACCTGTACATAGACGAAGAGGATACCTCGTGGTTTAAAATCAGGAAAGGTATGTGTCAGGGTTGTATCCTTTCACCATACTTACTCAATCTGTAGCTGAGCAAATAATCCAAGAAACTGGACTATATGAAGAAGAATGCAGCATCAGGATTGGAGGAAGACTCACTGATAACCTGCGATATGCAGATGATACAACCTTTCTTGCTGAAAGCGAAGAACACTTGAAGCACTTAGTGATAAAGATCAAAGACTACAGCCTTCAGTATGGATTACACCTCAAAATAACGAAAAGAAAAAGTCTCACAATTGGACCAATAAGCAACATCATGATAAGTGGAGAAAATATTAAAGTTATCAATGATTTCATTTTACTTGGATCCACAATCAACGTCCATGGAAGCTAGCAGTCAAGAAATCAAACAAATTATTGCATTGGGTATATCTGTTGGCAAAAGACCTCTTCGAAGCATTAAAAAGCAAAGATGTCACTTTGAGGACTAAGGTGCCCCTAACCCAAACCATGGTATTTTTAATCACCTCATATACATGTGGAAGCTGTACAATGAATAAGGAAGACCAAAGAAGAATTGATGCATTTGAATTATGGTGTTGGCAAAGAATACTGAATACACCATGGACTGCCAGAAGAATGAACAAATTTGTCTTGGAAGAAGTAGAGCATCCTTAGAAACAACGATGGTGACACTCTGTCTCATGCACTTTGGACATGTTATCAGGAGGGACCAGTCTCCGGAGAAGGACATCATGCTCGTCAAAGTAGAGAGTCAGCGAAAAAGAGGAAGAACTTCAATGAGATGGACTGACACAGCGGTCACAATGATGGTCTCAAGCATGGCCAACGACTGTGAGGATGGCGCAGGACCAGGTAGTGCTTCTTTCTATTATACACAGGGTCGCTGTGAGTCAGAACTGACTTGACAGCCCATGACAACAACAAGATATATATTTATATTTATATATTTATACATGTACATGCATATATGTAGAAACCCTGGTGGCATGGTAGTTAAGTGCTACAGTTGCTAACCAAAAGGTCGGTAGTTCGAATCCACTAGGCGCTCCTTGGAAACTCTATGGGGCTGTTGTACTCTGTCCTATAGGGTTGCTAGGAGTTGGAATCGACTCAATGGCAATGGGTTTGGTTTTTTTAATGCATATATGTGTGCATATGTATGTGTGTACATATGCACATATACCCGTGTACATATGATGCCTATGTGTGGGATGGTAACAGCACACGAGGTAGAAACACAAAAGAAGATTTATACAACAGAGATGGTTCTTTGAAAAGACCATCTTTGCAACTAACCACCCTTTGGCAAATATGATCAAGAAAAAAACAGAAGGCATAAATAAACAGTATAAAAAAGGGAACAAACCTATAGAAGCTACAGACATTAAAAAGATAATAATAGGATATTATGAATAATAATTTGATAACATGTATGAAACAGACAAATACCTAGGAAAAAAACCTAGTAAAACTAACCCTAAACAGAAAACCTGAACGTTACTGTTAAAAATAATTTAAGCAGTAGTATGTAATAATTCCTCAAACAGAATCACAAAACTCAGATAGCTATGTTAGTAAGAAATGGTCCTTACTCATAATATATACAACCAACAAAGGATTAGTATCCAGAATATAAAAAGAACTACAAATCAATAAAAAAGAACAACCCAATACAAAAACGGGCAAAAATCTTGAATAGACATGTCACAGAGTAAGGAACCTGAATGACCAATGACTATATCCAACCTCATTAATAAACGGAAAAATGTACACTGAAATCACAATGATACACCGTTTCAAACCCAAGAGAATGGCAAAAATAAAATACCAAACATTGATGAGAAAATGAAGCAACTAGAACTCTTATATACTGCTGCTGAAAATACAAATTATAGGCTCAGTGGGAAAAATAATCTAGCACTATATACAAAGACACGCATACATACCCTATGTTTTTGGCAGTACTTTTTATACTAGTGAGAAAAAGCAATCCAAAAAACTTAAGGCACCTGACAGGACTGAGGCTTCTGGCTAAGCTTCCAGGCCAAATTCCATTTTCTTACTCTGAGACTCACTTCTCGCTTCATATGTGACAGGAAGGAAAATTTTACAAGACATTGTGCAGATTAGAATTAGGTTATGCTAAGGAATGTAGTTTTGTCAGGCTCCCGTATACAGAGGTGTTAAGCATGTGATTTCCGTGGTTAAGCCGACTCTCAGAAGCTGCTCCCTTCGCTCTCCCTTTAAAAATGTTTTTCTAACCCCCTTACAATACTTTGTACTTTTCCATAACCTTGTTCAGCTTAAACCCAAGGGGAATCTAATCCCCTGTAAGACTTGTGGTCAGCCAGCTGCAACTCTATAGGTGTCCACCAATCAAATACTGTACCCTTGTTACTGGCTTCTTGTGGTTTTTTGCCTTTATTAACTTCTGTGACTGAACAGCCCCTTGGAGCACTGTGTCAAGAGTTTCTTGACTCTGTGTCTCCTCAATTTGCAAATTGCCTTCTCACTCAACAAACCTCTTTGCTTTTATTTCAAGCAGAACTTTGTGATTATTTTCACTGTAACACTAGTCATAACTTGGAAATAACATCCATCAAAAGATAAATAACAGTATATTCATAAAATAGGAAACTCTAGAGCAATGAAAATAGTGAATCTCAGAAATACAATGTTGAGCAAAAATACAGGTTGAAGATTACATACACTATAAGTCCATTTATATAAAGTTCAAAAATATGCAAACTTAACAATATATTGATTAGTGATCCACATATGTGGCAACGATCCACATATATGGTAAAACTATAAGGAAAAGATAAATATCAAATTCAGAACTATGGTTATTTCTGAGGAGAAAGAGAAAGGGATAAAATCAGGAAATGTGATATATTGGACCTAAAAGATAATGTTAATGCTTTTTCTATACCTACTAAATTTTAAAGCACATGTTTAAAGACATGTAGTATTTGAAATCTAGTAGTCATTGCCTCCATAAGAATTTTTAGACTTAAAGACAGTATCACTGAATAAAATTTGTATATAAAATATCTTTAAAAAATTTATTTAGAATGCTAATGAATACTACAGAATTCCCTACAACTACCAAAATATAAACAAGAGGAAAACCTATATGAAGACCAGTTCTTTCTGAGCATGAGCTATACTAGTAACAAAAGCGGTAGCAACAAAACAAACAGTAATTATTATCTTACCTTTATTGGTGAAATATGAGAATGAGAAACAAATCCATGGACATTCTCAATCTCGGACAGGTTCTTTTCTGAGACATGAACCAATTCTGGACCAATCACCTCATTAGTGATTTGTGGAGAAATGTGCTCTTGAGGAGGTGTGTCTTCTTCCTGATATCGATATTTCTGCAAAATAAAGCAAGCTATTGAATATGGAGAAGCCCTAAAAAGCAAGTGAGCTGAATCCAAATCATTGTTTTCATAACTAGCCAAATAGTCAATACTGTTTAATCATATGAAAAATGTATTTGATGGTTTAATACATAAAGTTTGAGAAGCAGGACTTCATTTCAGAAGCCACGCCAATATTTTAATAAAATTATTTGACTACTAAAAATAATGCAAAGTTCAGTGAAAAAAAATCTGAATATTGATGTGGTCATTTCTTACTCAATGTTAGCTAAGCTATATCTAAAGATATAACCATTTAAATGAAGTCAACATAAAAAGCCAAAGTTATTCAGTTAAGTTAGCCTGGTTTTCTTATTAACTTGTACAAAAATGGAAAAAAACAAACAAACAACAACAACAAAAAAAACAGGACGCAAGGACGAGATGGCAGAGTAGTTAGACGCTTCCAGTTCTCCCTCTTATAACAAAGACCCAAAAAAACAAGTGAATTAATTATATATGACGATCTACGAGTCCGAACATCAAAAGTAAAGATGAGGAATCGGACTGAGTGGCAGGAGGAGGGAGAGATGGTTCAGAAGCAGCGAGGAGTCGCCAGACTTGACCCAGAGGGAGCTGGTGCCCTATGGGCTGGATCAGCTGGCATGCGCAGTAAGGTGGGCGGGGGCGTTCGGGACATGTTTGCCGCATCAAGAGAGACCAAGCGTCAGAGAATCTGCTCAGGCCTCCAGAGCCATTGAAAAGCCGCACTCAATCGGCAAAAGATAAGTACATGCGTTTAACCTACTGTGCGGATCAAAAACCACCCCATTTGGGAAGAACCTCTCTCCAATTTACTTACTCCCTCCCCACTCTGCACCAGTCCTAGGCTGGCTTCAACAACTGCCGTGTCCCCTGGGCCGGAAGTAGAACTCGTCACGCATCCTGAGCCATTCTCCAGGCCATGGAGAGGGAACAAATTAACAAATAGGAAAAAATAATCTTCCAGCTCCCCTAAGCTGGGAACTCAGGGCAGGCATAGCTCCTTTGCTAGGCACAGGCATAAGGGGTACACGGACTTTGAACGCCTTTCTCCCCTGCACAGACATGTGTGGGCCCATTTCAACAGCGTAGGCCCTCATTAGCACAGTATAACAGGGTATATACCTGAAGCCTAACTTATATGGTGGAGTGGCAGGTTCATGACATTTGACACCGCTCTGCCCATTAAGCGGGGTCCTCACCTACCCACATGAGGGGCTTGACAACTGGTGGCTCCACCCACACCACCTAGCAATCTGCGACAGGAGCCCAAGAACAAGCAGTGCCTCCCAGTCCTTACAGCCAACAGCATGGGGTGCCCATAGTCTGGCTACAAAACCCATCCACCTATACACTCTAGCGAATAGGGACATGCTTTCCTCCCAGACACTCAGGGGCAGCCATCAGCCCCGTGTCTTCCTCAGCACGTGACCCCCTACTGCAGCCAGATACCTGTGCCTACTCCAATCACCCATTCGTCTAGGACTGTAGGTGAGAGCATGCACCACACACTTGATGACCAACTGTCTGGACACCTGAGCTGAATTCATACAACAAAAGTAAACGGACTCCTGAGCTCACAGACCCAGTAAGAGATCTAACCAACTGGTGACAGGACAATAGAGCTTCAAAGGCGCCAATAATCAAACTAGCTCACATGAGCAGCCTATTTGGACATATCAAAATAAAACAAAACAAGAAGCTAGGACACAGTAAGCAAACATAAAATAAATAAATATAACTTATTGATGGCTCGGAGACAACAGTCAACATCAAATCACATAAAGAGGCAGACCATGATGGCTTCGGCAAGCTCCTAAAACAAAGAATCAAAAAATTTTCCGGAGGAAGAGAACTTCTTGGAATTACTGGAGGTAGAACACAAAAGATTAATATACAGAGTTCTTCAAGAGATCAGGCAAAATACGGACCAAGCCAAGGAACACACAGACAAAGCAACTGAGGAACTTAAGAAGATTCCGGAAGAGCACAATAACAAATTTAACAGGCTGCAAGAACCCAAGACAGACAGGAAATACAAATCCAGAAGATTAACAATAAAATTTCAGAATTTTAGAAAACTCAATAGAAAGTCAGAGGAGCAGAATTGCGGCAACTGAAGTCAGAATTAGTGAGATTGAAGATAAGCACTTGACACCAACTTAGCTGAGGAAAAATCAGAATAAAAAATTTAAAAAAATAAAGAAACCCTAAGAATTATGTGGGACTCTTAACAAGAGGAATAACCTACGAGTGACTGGAGTACCAGAACAGGGTTGCAGGGGGCAGTGGATAATAGAAAATACAGAGAGAATTGTTGAAGACTTGCTGGCAGAAAACTTCCCTGATATCGTGAATGATGAGAAGATATCTATCCAAGATGCTTGTCAAACCCTACGTAAGGTAGATCCCAAAAGAAAATGAAAAAGACATATTATAATCAAACTTTTAAAAACCAAAGATAAAAGAGAACTTTAAGAGCGGCTAGCGAAAAATGAAAAGTCATCTACAAAGGAGAGTCAATAAGACTAAGCTTGGACTACTCAGCAGAAACTATGCAGGCAAGAAGCAATGCGATGACAGATATAAAGCCTTGAAGAAAAAAAAAATGCCAGCAAAGAATTATATATCCAGCAAAAATGTCTCTCAAATATGATGGTGAAATTTGGGCATTTTCAGATAAACAGAAGTTTGCAGAATTTGTAAAAATCAAACCAAAACTACCAGAAATACTAAAGGAAGTCCTCCAGTTAGAAAATCAATAACATCAGGTAACAACCCACGACTTGAACAAAGGACAGAACAAGCAGGTATCAACCCAGATAGGGAAGTCACAAAAATATATCAACCCTAAAACGCTAAAAACAGAGAAACAGACATCAGTATGTAAAAGATGACATTAAAACAAATAAGCAGGACTAAAAGATGTAGTCATAGATCTTTCATATGGAAAGGAAGTCAAGGCAATATAAAAAAATAAAAGACTGGTTTAAACTTAGAAAAATAGGGGTAAATATTAAGGTAACCACAAAGAAAACTAACAATCTTACATATAAAAATAAAAAAACAAGAAAAACATAAAGACTCAGCAAATACAAAATCAACAACAATGGAAAAGACAAAAAGAAAATAAAGAAAAACGACTCAGCACAGAAAATTAACTGGAACAAAGAAACTGTGAACACACAAAAAAGGCATCAAAAATGACAGCAGTAAACGCACATCTATAAATAATTACGCTGAATGTAAAGGGACTAAATGCACCAATAAAGAGACAGAGAGTCGCAGAATGGATAAAAAAACACGATCCGTCTATATGCTGCCTACAAGAGACACACCTTAGACTTAAAGACACAAACTAAAACTCAAAGGACGGGAAAAACTATATCAAGCAAACAACAATCTGAAAAGAGCAGGAGTAGCAATATTAATCTCTGACAAAGCAGACTTTAAAGTAAATTCCACCACAAAGGATAAGGAGGGACACTATATAATAAAGGGTCCATACACCAGGAGGACATAACCATAATAAATATTTACACATCCAACGACAGGGCTCCAAAATACATAAAACAAACTCTAACAGCATTGAAAAGAAGAGACAGCTCCACAATAATAGTAGGAGACTTCAACACATCACAGAATACCCAGAAAGAAGCTCAATAAAGACATGGAAGATCTAAATGCCACAATCGAACAATCTGACCTCACAGACATATACAGGACACTTCACCCAACAGCAGACAAGTATGTACACAGAACTTCCCAATGCACATGGAACTTTCTCCAGAATAGAGCACATATTAGGCCATAAAGCAAGCCTTAACAGAATCCAAAGCATCAAAATATTACAAAGCATCTTTTCTGACCATAAAACCATTAAAGTGGAAATCAATAACAGAAAAAGGAAAAAAAAAAAAAATCAAACACGTGAAAACTGAACAACACCTTGTTCAAAAGCTACTGGATTACAGAAGAAATTAAGGATGGAATAAAGAAATCCACAGAATCAAATGAGAATGAAAACACATCCTACCAGAACCTTTGGGACACAGCAAAAGCAGTGCTCAAAGGTCAATTTGTAGCAATAAATGCACACATCCCAAAAGAAGAAAGGGCCAAAATCAAAATATTAACCCTACAACTCAAATAGAATGAGAGCAGCAAAAGAAGCCTTCAGGCATCAGAAGAAAGCAAATAATAAAAATCAAAGCAGAAATTAAATGAAATAGAAAACAGAAAAGTAACTGGAAGAGTTAACAAGAACAAAAGCTGGTTCTTTGAAAAGATCAGCAAAATCGATGTTAAACCACTGGCCAAACTGACAAAAGAAAAACAGGAGTGGAAGTGAATAATCCGAATAAGAAATTATATAGGCGGTATCACAACAGACTCAACTGAAATTAAAAAATCCTTACAGAATACTATGGAAAATTGTACTTTAACAAATTTGAAAACCTAGAGGGAATGGACAAATTTCTAGAAACACACTATCCACCTAAACTAACACAAACAGAGGTAGAACAACTAAAAAAACCTATAACAAAAGAAGAGACTGAAAAGGTGATTAAAATCTTCCAACAACAACAACAAAAAGCCCTAGCCCTGAGGGTTTCACTTGAGAATTCTACCCAACTTTCAGAGATGAGTTAACACCACTACTACTAAAGGTATTTCAGAGAATAGAAAAGGATGGACTACTCCCAAACTCGTTCTATGAAGCCAGCACAATCCTGATACCAAAACCAGGTCAAGACACCACAAAAAAAGAAAATTACAGACTAATATCAATCATGAACATAGACGCAAAAATCCTCAACAAAATTCTAGCTAACAGAATTCAACAACATATCAAAAAAAAATTCACCATGACCACATGAGATTGATACCAGGTATGCAGAGATGGTTCAACATTAGAAAAAGAATCAATGTAATCCATCGCATAAATAAAAGACAAGAAGCACACGATCTCA